ATAAGAGGGAGTTACTTGATAATTTGCAGTTCTTACCCACAATCTGAATCCACGCAAGGTGGTAGTCATGAAATGATCGTCAAATGCTCGGATCGGCAGGTGCAGCTGCGTGAATCAAACAAACAACTTAGAAAATCATCTCAAAGCATGAAAGTGTACTGAGAGAAAATCATCTGCTTAGGCTATATAATATAGTTGCTTTATAGCTCAATCATTTGTATTGCAAGTTAACGTGCTCTAATGCATAACATCGAGAAGACGCGGCTTCACGGATGAATTGGTTGGTTGGATTCAACATAGGAAGTAAACGTAGGGCAATTGAATGCGGAATGTTACATTACAAATTACAGATGGGAGCTAGAACAGTCGTAAAGAGGCAGGTGAGTATTAGACTGCATTAGGTGTGCAAATTTTAGTCTTGTGCCTATAAGTTGGCAGCGTGATAGGTCAGGCAGGTAAGTGTCCATTTGGTATGCAGAATTAAGACCCGAAGGAGGGTGTGTTGATTAACATGAACCTGCTGCTACATCTCAAACATCCCTCCTTCCTCATTGCAACATCCATTTGCCTTGGCTGGAAATAGCAATTGCTCACGTCTGCGTGGTCAGAGGAATGAAAATCGGTGCGCCAACACACTAAACCGAATGCCTCGCACATCAGTTTTCGAAGTGTCCAGTGACAGAAACTAAACTGATTGGTATCAAAGCCCTTGTGAGCTCATTCCCAAATCGCGTTCAAGCATGGTTGCAGAGTTATGCCCATGAGAGGTGTACAGGTTGGAATGCACCTATAATATAAACTCAGGAGAGACCTAGCAATCCACTAGCATTGAGCCTAAAATGATAGACAAAATATCCTCCTCAGTTACTATATATCCTTCTTACTCTGATTCAGTTCATTGGTCTTCATATCTTCTACCTCTACATCCACTCCATAATCCTCGCTCATGATGCATTTACCTCCACCCTCACCGATTCGAAGAAACCTACAACAAGAGTGGAGAGGCCACGGAAATGCATCGCACTACTCTGGCGGCACTATCACGTCTTCTGCGTCTGGTGGTGGAAAACAAAGGCGTAGCTTCCAACACCGAGATGGTTGATCAAACCCACGCCTTGAACAGTCTCATTAAGAAGTGGCATGTTAGATTCAAAGCCCACCTGCTTCATGTGATTGAGGATGAGAGGCTGTGCTGGAGTCCGTCTGAGGGGAAGTTGCAACGGCTGGCAGAGGCGTGAATACGGCGACTGCCATGTTCAAATGAGGTGATCATGGAAACATGCAATGTCACGATGAATGTTGAGGTGATTATTTAATCTTCTGCATAAATTATTTGCCGAAATCGCAGATTCGCTCAAGTGGTTTAGAATTGAAATACGCTAGAATGAACGACCAGTTAATTATGCAAATGGATGTGTGAGGAGGAGGCAGTGGTTTAATCTCATTGATTTGCATGGTATAATGATGCAAAATGATGGGAGTATAGTGAATTTTACAAAAAAACAGTACCCTACAGCACTGAACCCACATATTGCCACCTACATGTGCCCCTCAATGTGTATAGAGAAGATAACCGCCGGGATCACCACTGACACGTAGGACCGCATTTGAAAGGCTTATGG